GTGAGAGAGTGAGACAGACTGAGAGCGAGAGAGTGAGACAGACTGAGAGTGATACAGACTAGACAGTGAGAGAGTGAGACAGATTGAGAGTGATACAGACCAGATAGTGAGAGAGTGAGACAGACTGAGAGCGATACAGTCTAGACTGAGAGAGTGAGAGATTGAGAGTGATGAGGAGACAGTGAGAGTGAGACAGATTGAGAGTGAGACAGATTGAGAGTGATGGGGAGACAGATTGAGAGTGACAAGGGTGACAGTGAAAGTGAGACAGATTGAGAGTGATGGGGAGACAGTGAGAGTGAGAGATTGAGAGTGATGGGGAGACAGTGAGAGTGAGAGACTGAGAGTGATGGGGAGACAGTGAGAGTGAGACAGATTGAGAGTGATGGGGAGACGGTGAGAGTAGGAGAGATTGAGAGTGATGGGGAGACAGTGAAAGTGAGACAGACTGAGAGTGAGACAGATTGAGAGTGATGGGGAGACAGATTGAGAGTGAGACAGATTGAGAGTGATGGGGAGACAGATTGAGAGTGAGACGGATTAAGAGTGACAAGGGAGACAGTGAAAGTGAGACAGATTGAGACTGATGGGGAGACAGTGAGAGTGGGACAGACTGAGAGTGATGGGGAGACAGTGAGAGTAGGAGAGATTGAGAGTGATGGGGAGACAGTGAGAGTGAGACAGATTGAGAGTGATGGGGAGACAGTGAGAGTGGGAGAGATTGAGAGTGATTGAGAGTGCTGGTTCAGTATAAACTCCCCTTTCAAATATCTGGCTCTGGCAGTTTGAAAATGTAACTCAACCCAGTGCCCTGGCAGACCTGGCTGTCCAGAGAGGACTGACATTAGAAAGAAGAAGAAACAGAGATTGTAAGGAATTATGATTGTTGTATTAGAATGCCCACACCTGCTGGAATCAGAATGGCTTCCAATCCTACAGCGGGAGGAAACTCAGTAGCGCAGCCTGAGGAACAGGGACTGACACTCTCAAACACCAAACGTTACTGCTGCAAACGTGTGTTTCCTGATGGTTGTTATTGCTCAGGCAACACTGTAATCCACTGGTCATGCCACTGGAGCCCGCTGGTCAGGCTGGACTGGAGCCTGTGAGTGTGGCAGACAGGCGGTGGAGAGACGTGAGACAGAGCCGGGCGTGGAGACAGGAAGCAGGGCGGGCGAGTGATTTGTGCTCTCCCTCCTGCAGTGACCTGCTGACCCCACGGCCCTTCAGCTGTGGGCAAGTTAGCCCGAGTGTCGAGGAGCTGTCCTGTACCGTACGGGTCTGATGATGCATGTGGAGTGCTGGTTTGCTGGAAGCCGGAGGCGTCAGCGTCGAGTCCCTTTTCCTTTATGAGTGATCTGCAGACCTCAGGCTGGTGAGTAGTGTGTTGCTGGGCCAGTGAAAGAGGTCTGAGTTAGACAGAAGGTTAAAAAAACAACAATGGTTTATATTGGTCTCATCAGTGCGCATTGCCGATGGAACCACCCACAGAGAAGAGGGGCGCAGACCGATGCCATGCAGGCTGGTGCGCCCCAACACACGAGACATCCGGGGGAAATCCGTCTTTGGAAGTAGTGTTTTATGAGGAACGGGGCCTCGGCTCATCGGATGCTAACTCTCTCTCTCTCCCGCCGGAATCCTGATGAGGAATCTTGCTAATCTTGGGCATTAACGAGTCCCAGAAATCCTTCCGCAGTCATGGCAGGAAAACAGCAGGACTTTCCGACTGATGATGAAGAATGACAACGGCACTTTCTGCTGCATTTCAATAAGTATACATTTGAGGTAGCTGCTCACTTATGTTTTGCTCTCAGTTGTTAATGTACAGCCACCTCCCCATAAAATAGAAAAGCACATAAAATATGTTGCAAACACGAGACGGGCATTTTTTGACAGGTCCCAGAAATCAGCATGGCTCGTGTCTTCAGGACTTATTTCCACCTCTGCTGTAGGACAAATGTCAACATCTCTATGTTTGCAGCACCTTGTTGTGTGTGTGAGGTCCCCTGGTGACGCAGCGGTCAGGCAGAGCTGGGGCCCAGGGGTTAATGCCAGAGCTGGGGTTCTGTTTGTATGTTCTCCTCATGTTCACATGGGTTTTTCCGGGTGCTCCAGGTTCCTCCCATGGGCCAAGAACATACTGGCAGGTTACTAGGCTTCTGGGAAAATTGGCCCTGGTGTGAGTGTGTGTGTCTGTGTCTGCCCTGTTATAAACTCCCTTGTGACCCTGGATTGGAGGAAGGGGTCAGATGATGGATGGATGGACAATCCTTGTGACTGTTTCATAGGGAACTTGCTTGGAAAAGCCAGGTGGAGGACAAGTTCCTGTTCCGGGGTCAAAACAGACGTCCAGATCCAGATCCAGATCCAGATCCAGCATCGTCGGCTCCACTGTGCCGTGTGAAATTAGCTGTGTTCTGTAGAGGCTGTCTTCCACTGACAGGCCGGAGGAACAGAAACAGAAAGTCTTGAACAGAGAAGATTCAAAATCCTCCAAAGTTTTGGCAAAGTCAACTTTCTTCAGTGTGAACTTTGAAGCATGAACCAGAGGACACAGTTTCCTCATTTAGAGGACACAACTAAAGTCCTAAGAAATATAACTAATTTGCTTGGAAGCCAATTTAAAACCTAGAACAGGAGAAACGTCTTGTTACCCCCGTGGGTATCCACCTGGGTGACAGACAGCAGCCATTCTGCACCAGCTGCACCAGCTGGGTGAAGGAGTGAGAAATTAATTCACCAGTCCAAACGGGGGGATCTTTAGGGAGGGCAGATGGTTGAAGCCCAGAGTGGAATTTAATCCAGGCACTGGAGTGAACACCCCTACTCCCACCACAGTGTCCTGGGATCTGAGTTCCTGACCAAGCAGTCAGGACCTCAGATTGTTTGGCCCTTACTCTACAGCACAGTGTTGCTGGTCGCCATACTGGGGCGTTGATATGGACATAACATTTCAGAGGGAGGAGCGCCCCCTACTGTGTCACCCACACCACGTACAGCAGCAGTCTGCGGTTTCCTGCTGATGTGTTCTACAGTTACACTGTTTCACCACCGAATGTTGAACAAGAACAGGAAACGGACCTGTTCAGTACAAAGCCAGGGTTGCCCTGCGTGCCCAGGGTCCTGAAATGCAGGGAGTGTGGCCTGAGGGATATTCTTCAGCGCAGACCGCAGGGGTACCTAGGGGGTTTCAGATTCAGATCTTTTTCATTTTTCAAACAATAACAGTGTGTTCCTGGAGAGGCTTTCCAAACCACAAAACCAGCCTTTGTAAGCTGCCATTCCAGCGGGACCTGCGTGGTTTGTGTTTCTGTCACTGCGCCGGCCATCGGGGATGATGACAATTATGCAGCAGAAGGGGAGCTCTTGATTCTTGGGAGATCAGAAGCGTTTTGGGTTTTTTTCCCGATTAAGAAGAAGAACGATTTCCCGCTCAGCGACGCGGACTTAAAAAAGTAAAGTGTATCTATCTGGAAGCGCAGACAGACTGCCCACAGCGTGTCAGTATTTCCTTCCTCGCAGACTCAAGCTCAAGGCCGAACTGTGCTAGTCTCGGAGTAGCTGCTCTGTTTTCATTTTTAATGGTGAGACCTGAGTGTGCTTATTCAGGAATCTGAAAACTGTGAGTCAGCTGCAATGTAATCCAGATACAAACAATTAAATTACAGCTTTTTACAAACTGTTACATATTTACAAAAACACATACCAGTCAGTTCCCGGCTGGGTGTGGCACCGTACAGCGGTAATATGGGATCGATTAGACGAAAACTTGCTTTTTAAAATAAAGCGTTTTTAATTCGTTACACGTGGGTCCAGTTTACAAACTTTGACTTTTCCAATTAACTTCCCTTTTCACCCAAAGGCTTTATGTACAGTACTTGATTTGTGTTTCGAATTATAAAGTCTCCCAGCGTTGTTGTTTTTTTTAACTTTGCTTTTCAACAACATTCCAGGACTTGTGTTTATTTTTTTAGTCGAACAGCCTTTTCAGAACAAATCTTTGGTTTTGTTGACATCAAATAAAAATACTTCGCTCGACTGCAACCAATTGCACGTGCACTCTATCACTCTCGCGCACACAGGGTAAAGCTGAATTTATTTGGAATTTATCAGATGTGTGTGTGTCTCTTCGGGACTATCCACGGACAATGGGCACGTCTTTGCCACACCCATGGGAAAATCAAACTCCTAAAGCAGAACCACAAAACATGAAAAACCAAGGAAACACAGTGAATCCCAAATTCTACATTTTAATATAATACAAGGAATAAAATTACAACCTTCAATTCTAAGTCTCTCCTTCCATCAACTACTGTATGTCAGAAGAAAGCCTAAAATACACTGCTTTTTAAGTTTGGGATTTGTATAGGTTTGCTGTGCTCCGTAAAGTACTTCCATTATAGTTCTGATTGCTACTTTAATATTCACTAGGTACAACAACATCCAAGAGCTGAATGCCTTCTGTATGCTACTTGCAAACCAGAGATGGCCCTAAGGCTCCTGTTGCATAGTTATTTGCTCCGTGTCAAGTTTTAGTACGGGCTGCTGGCTGTTGCTAAAAGTATGCTTGTGAAGCAGAAAGACAACAAGACAGTTTCTCTTTCTCAAGCAGACACAGTGACCAGAATAAATGCTAGCAGTAAATCATAGTTTAACACCCCTCAGTGTGTTCGGAAATGTCCGGGTACAGTCATATCTGGTAATGGCTCCTATATAGGAGTCCCTGCTTGAAGTGGTAGAATCCCGAGCTGGTCCTGCACAAAGGCCTGAGAGAAACTGAGACAGCAGCAGCATCAATCAGTTCTGCATTGTTCTGTTTTTTTTTTAAATAGCATTTGATGGCAATTGGATAACAAAATAAGAAAAGGTAGGGGGGTTAGTCATCCTGGAACTGGCTAGGTGCCTGCTGTCTCCTGGTGACAGCAGTGACCAGCTTGTCCTGTTGGGCGTTGTAGAGTGTGTCACCCAGGTGGGTGCAGTGTTTCATTGGTGGAAGAAGTGGGATTCGTGACGTTATTATGATGAAGTGGAACCACATCACAGTTTGATCACAGTTTGTTCAAACATTGGCTTCTGCAATGGCAGAATGTTTCGACATGAGGGTTAAAATCCTGCTCATACCCTGCCCCTGGAAGGGGTATCCACAATCGCAGGGAATCCTGGGACGGCAGGGAGAGTTGGCAGTAAGTGGGACTCGGCGCATGCAACATGACGTTTCTCTTTTTTCCCTTGCACCCTGCTCTGAGGGCAGCTGATCCTCCTTCATCCCCAGTGACTGCTCAATTTGCAGAAAAGCAGGATAAATTCCCCTCCAATAATCTTGGACTCTGAGTGTTACTGAAGACCGGAGTACAAGTGTTTATTTGCCAAGCTCTCCTGCCCTTCTGGTGCCATTCTGCCTCTCACACATCTCATTCTAAGTCCCTCTGCCCTGTAGCTGCTGTCAGTCTTCAGAAATCCCAGGTTTGCAGAGAGGTCTCTGAGCACAGAGACTACAGCGCCTCTATTCTAACATTCTTCCCACTTGCAATCTGTATGCATTTTCACCTGTGCAGGGTACTCATGCCCAAACAGGTGCAGATGCTGCTACCGAACTGCGCATCGGCCATACGACTCCGGAACGCTCAGACAAGATAACTGAGTCGTGTTTTGCTGGCGCCCCTGGGCACGTCCTCTCTCGTTCCCTGTCCTTCAGTGCGCAGTGGGGTGGAAGTTAGTGGACGGCGAGTCTCCGTCTCTCAGCGCGCGGTCTCTGCCCGCGTCTCCCCATACTGCACGTGCACAGTTTGTCTCGGCGCAAGGCTCTCGGACGGCGGTGGGACCCGCGCAGGGGTCCCTGGTTCTGCGTGCGCTCCAGGGGGGCTCGGTGCCGCCTGCTCCCCGACCCAGTCAGTACGCGGTCTCCTTGATGGTGGTGGACGCCGTGGTGCTGGAGTCGTCCGGGAGGGAGTTCCTCCGCTTGGCCCAGCGCCGGCAGCAGAGCAGCTGGCCGAGGTCCCGGGACACACTGCTGGAGAAGGCGGTGTAGATCCAGGGGTTGGTGCAGCTGTTCAGGCTGGCCAGCAACATGAGGATGGTGAACGCCACGCCTGGGGGCAGGAGGGAGGACAGGCTGTTATGGCTGGCGCAGGTCTCAATTAACCCGTCATTATCCAATTTCCCTATTTAAACCCTCAGCTCACATGGTAACATCGCTCGGTATTAGGATCTCTTCCGCCTCCTGAGCTCACCTCGCCCTTTTCCTCCCAAGTCCCCTTTCTACCTCGTCTGGACTCCCTCAACGTCGGCTCTTTGGTTTTGGTTTTGGATTTCTTGCTCTTGCCTTGCCCCTGTCGGATCTGTCTGCCTCTCTTCTGGACTTGTCCCTGCCTGGAATAACCGAGCACTCTACCTCGCCGCCTGCCTTGGATACCTCAGCTACCGGAGACCCGCACAAGGTTCGTAAATGACACTGTTGTCACACAGGCAGTCACCGTTGTGTAGACGGCGTGTCAGCACGGCCAGCGCTGTTGTCAGGCTGTTGTGCTCCCAAGAGGGAACATTACAGGCAAGCCCCGTCTTCTCCTGTTTTCCTAATTAAACCTTTACGAGCGCCCGTCTCACACAGGCTAGTTTATTGTAACACAGCTGGCTTGCACATCCCAGAATTTGTTCTCTCTCTCTCTTTTTCGTGCCCCACCCATTGTTTTCCAAAGTTTTATCCTGGCGTTCCCTAGTGTTGCCCTACGGCACCGTGAACTCCAATGCTGAGCAACGCCGTGCTTTTACAGCGCTCTTGTCTGGTATGGTGACCGTGCTGGTCTGGGCTGTACTGGAGCAGACTGCGGGGAGTGAGGGAGGGCGAGGCAGGCGGAGAGGTGGAGAGGGAGCCGGCGAGAGGGCAGCTTGTCTCCCTCTCCACGGCCGCGCCTTGCTGCGGACTTTGAAGAGCAGAGCAGAGAAGGGGTTTACTGCTCCGTGCTGGCGAAAGAGGCGAGGTGTGGGAAATATCGAGGGAGAGAGGGGTGGGCCGAGACAACACTCGGAGATGGAAGCTTACCCTCAGCTTGCCCCAAAACCCCCAACGTTCAGCCGTAACACCAGCCTAACACCCGACCTTAATCTCGACGAACCTTAATCCACCCTTAATGGAGACGCTGAATTCTCATCCCTTAGCCTCCCCTACTATGAGCCATGACCCTACTGTATTTACAGTTTTAATCCCAATCCTTAACAGTAACTCCAAATATAAATCCCAAACCTAATCCATAATCTGATTTCACCCGTACCCTTGTTGCTGTAAATCCCTCTCTCACCCCAATCCCACCTCCCCGTCCTAGAATCCCGATTCAGTGCTCCAGAAGCATTCAAGCCCAATGCTGAACTAGTTAGTTCCTGACTCCTGAAACGTCCCCCGCCGGTCAGCGGGAATGGCTACCTTGGTTAGGGGGGTTGGGGTCCCAGGCGGCCCAGAGCTGGACGATGAAGAAGGGCGACCAGCAGATGGCGTAGACGAGCACGATCACCAGCGTCATCCTCACCGTCTTCGACATCGCCTTGGAGACGCCCGAGTGGGAGTGGTGGGAGTGGTGGGGGGGGTGGCTGCCCGCCCCCCCTCCGCCTCCGTTCCGGAACTGCAGGGCGATCTGGTTCTTCTTGACCTCGGCGGAGACCCTCTCCGACTTCAGGTAGATGTTGTTGTGGATCTCGCGGAAGATGCGCACCTGGAACACGGTGATGATGACGGTGGGCACCACGAGCACCGCCAGCGTCATCCAGGTGACGTACGCCTTGAGGCCCCAGGGCTCTGCAAAGTGGCCCCAGCACTCGAACACGCCGGGCGCCACCTCTGACTTGGAGAAGATGAAGACCTCGTGGCAGGAAGGGAAGGTCAGAAGAGAAACATTTCAGTGATCGCGGCCTCAGTCGGGGTCAGGCAGTGCATTTAAGACTGGGGGGGGCACTATTTACACAAAGAGTGGTGGGAGTGTGGAACAAGCTGCCCAACGCTAGTGTTAATACTAATACCCTGACTTCTTTAAAAAAAATGTAATCCTGGGACCAATTAACAATGTCCTCTCATCTCCCACCTTTCTTATGTTCTTATTTTCTCCTTAGAGGAAGAAGTTGAGGTTGATTCCACACTGAAAAGCTAACAGATAAAACCCCACAATATTTTAGCACGTGTCACCTGTAGAAAGCTTCACCCGAAAAAGCCACGACAGCTTGGGAATGCTGTCTCTTCTTAACCTTTTCAGCGTGGAAGTAACCTCCCTGCCCGAGCCTCTGGAAGTCAAAGGCGCTGTACAAGGTGGTGCTACTGCGGGCGCAGCTGACCTGCGGCAGGCTGAGCACGAGGGACAGCACCCAGGCCACCGTGATGGGAGGGTTCCAGCGCGCCGCCCCCCCGCTGCGGTAGGCCATCATGGGGTGACAGATGGCCTGGTGCCGGTCGAAGGTCATGGCCACGATGGTGTAGGACGAGGCGAACATGCCCACGATCTGCAGGTACTTCACCATGCGGCACAGGACGTCCGGACCGCGGAAATACTCCGTGATGTCCCACAGCAGCTGGGGCAGCACCTCGGAGAGAATAGGGGAGTCGGCCGGTCAGGCTGGAGGCAGAGGGCAGCAGCGTCCCTGCGTGTTCCTGTTCGCAGGTGTTTGTACAGCGCGACGTGACACAGCGTGTTCGTATTTAAGCCGCTCTCACACCAAGGTCTGCTCGGGTCACACATGACATTGATGTGTCCATGTTTGAACAGGACAGAGACTGAGGAGGTGAACAGGACTGTTCTACTGTACTGGGACTGTAGCCCCTATTGTAACAGGACTGTTCTA